GTGTCTATAGCCTGTCCCTGCAGGTCTTTTAATGTAAACACGGCGGCACTGCAGCACTGGCGTTAGATAACATGGCAAATCATATGGGTGGGGCATTGTGATGTCACATGGGGGGCGTCAAACTTTACTTTTGCCTAGGGCGGCAAAAATCCTTGCCCTGGCTGGAAGGGGCTGTGTGAGCTGTGGCCGCACAGTGCCCCATGGTAGTTAGGGTGCCGTGCAGCCAGTACGGCTCACACAAGCAAACAGCTGATAAACTGGCCGCACGGAGGAAAAGTGGGGCGGAGCTAAGCAAAATCAGAGGCGGGGCCAAACTGGTGCTGGGGGGCGGGGCTTTGGGGGGCAAGGGGGTGCCAAGCACAAGATCCGCCCCGGGTGCCAAATGCTCTAGGTACGCCCCTGTGGAAGGCTATTCCATGCGTCCACTACCCTCTCTGTAAAGTAATACTTCCTGAAATTATTTTTAAACCTTTGCCCCTCTAATTTAAGACTATGTCCTCTTGTTGTGATAGTTTTACTTCTTTTAAATACAGTCTCATCCTTTACTGTGTTGATTCCCTTTATGTATTTAAATGCTTCTATCCTATCCCCCTGTCTCGTCTTTCCTCCGAGCTATACGTGTTAAGATCCTTTAACCTTTCCTGGTAAGTTTTATCCTGCAATCCATGAACCAGTTTAGTAGTAGCCCGACTCTGAACTCTTTCAAATATCTCTCTGAACTCTGAACTCAAGTATCAATATCCTTCTGAAGATACAGCCTCCAGTACTGCGTACAATACTCCAAGTGAGGTCTCACCAGTGTTCTATACAATGGCATGAGCACTTCTCTCTTTCTACTGCTAATGCCTCTCCCTCTCCCAAGCATTCTGCTACCATTTCCTGCTGTTCAATTACATTGTCTTCCTACCTTTAAGTCATCTGAAATAATTACTCCTAAATCCCTTTCTATACTCTGCCCTTGGGTTTTTACACCCAAGATGCATTATCTTGCACTTATCCACATTAAATGTCAGTTGCCACAGCTCTGACCATTTTTCTAATTTATCTAAATCATTTGTCATTTGACTTATCCCTCCTGGAACATCACTGTTGCAAATTTTAGTATCATCATCAAAAAGACATACCTTACCATCAAGGCCTTCTGCAATATCTCTAATACAAATATTAAAGAGAATGGGTCCAAGTACAGATCCCTTAGGTACCACACTGGTAACTAGACCTGGCTTCAGATATACTCTGTTGACTACAACCATCAGTTGTCTGTCATTTAGCCACTGCCTAACCAATTCAACAATATTGGAATCCAAACTTAAAGTTTGCAGTTTATTGATGAGCCTTCTATGTGGAACAGTGTCAAAAGACTTACTGAAATCTAGGTAAGCAATGTCCACTGCACCACCCTGATCTTTTATTTTAGTTAATCATAAAAAATGAATAAGATTAGTTTGGCATGATCTCCCTGAAGTAAACCAATGTTGTCTCTGATCTCGAAATCCATGTGATTTTAGATGTTCAACAATCCTATCCTTTAACATGGTTTCCATCACTCACCCCACTACTGAAGTAAGGCTTACTGGCCTATAGTTGCCCAACTCCTCCCTACTACCTTTCTTGTGAATGGGCACAACATTTGCTAACTTCCAATCTTCTGGGACTACTCTTGTTAACAATAATTGGTTAAATAAATCCATTATTTTAATTACTTTGGGTGTATCGCATCAGGCCCCATTGACTTATTTGTCTTTACTTTTGACAGTTGAAATAGAACCTCTTCCTTTGTAAACTCACATGAAACAAATTACCCATTTGTCCTTTTTCTTAACTGAAATCCATCTCCTTCATTTTCATCTGTAAATTCTGAACAAAAATATTCATTGAGGCAGTCAGCTAGACCTTTATCCTCTTCTACATACCTTCCTTCTTTTTTTTTTTTTTCAATTCTATATTGTATTATTGTTAGCTTATGCATACAGTTTTTAACAGTAGCATTGAATTATGAATAAACCTAGGCAGTGCTTAAACCAGGCTATGTATTATACAGGTTATGCATACATAGAAACAGTAGCTATACCAGTATATTAGTGCCCCTTAGTTATTCGTGGCTCACAGACTAGTTCTTGGGCATTTACTGTATAAGGCTGCATGCATTCTGCCATTGAACTGTAGCTAACATCGCTATTCTTGTATGACCAGTGTATTTGCTTGTCCGATAATGCCTCATCTTCGTCTGGTATCCGATGCTAGCTATTCAAACATGTTTAAGCAATATAACTGTATATTTGCTTTTAATCTAGGTCTAAATAAGGCGCTTCAATAGACTTTACGTCTGTTTGCACATTAACGTTTATAATGAATAGTGAGACATTTGTGGGCTGTGTGATTTTGCAGCATGCTAGGTTAAATGCTGTGTAAGTGAGTACTTTGTCTGCTTATATACAAGTGCTGTTGGCTATTGAAGCACACTGCCTGCCACGTTTTTCCTAAATGCTTAAAACAATTACAATGCTGCAAAGTGGGAAGCTTCTCTAAACATAAAGCAAATTAACAAAACAATCAGAGGTACAAAAAATGTATAAGTAAAAATAAGCACGCTTAGATAAAGAGAGTTCTCACATTTGTACCCAGGCACAGGCTATGAGAGATATTGTGGGATAATTCCTGTTGGATCAGCCGATGCCCGATCTGGAGGTTGCAGTTAAGTAGGGGGCAGGGCGAGGGGTAACCATGACATTTCTGCTGTGGTCATATCTGCCTTCTCGTTCTCAATCTGCTGTCATTGACAATTATTTCTATTAATATTAATAGCAGTTGCTGTCAGCCTGCATCACGCAGCGTCTACCTGTTGGGGGGAACTGCTGGTCGTCCTAGGCACGGTAGGTGAGTGGGGGAAGGGGAGTATTCAACTCTTCAGAACTAGTGCAGCTAGTACTAAAGGAGCCAATTCAAATTAAATTAAAATGATAAAACCATGAAACAATATTTAGTGTCCATGCTAACACCCAGAGAGAGAAGTGAGCTCGCATGGAGCTTGTATGGTGGGATGGATGATGTGATGTGTCAGTCCTCTTCACGGTGGCGGGTTGCGGTCTCACTTGGGACAAACGGAGTGATCCGGTCCACTGACCAGGAGGGCTGTTGCGGAAATGGGAAGGCGCTTTCGGGCAGTCCCAGTTCCCGTAGGAAACGGTGTGACTCAGATAGGTGAGTGAGTGTATCTTGCCTCCTCTTTCAACTGTCAGCTTTCGTATGTCCCATTTATATGGCACTTCGCTTTCCCGGAGGTGCTGGGTGAGTTGGCGGAGTGACCGCCGCCAAGCGATAGTATGTCGAGATATGTCCCTATAAAATGTCAGTTGGTGCCCCTCAAATGTAGTACTGGGGGTATCTCTTGTTGCCGTCAGAATAGCGCTTCTGTCTGAGTCTCGGACAAGCTTCACAAGAATGTCTCATGATGTCGCTGGAGGGGCTCTGGGGGCTTTAGGTAGTCGGAAGCAGTGGTCTATAACAATTTGTTTCACCTGTTTTGGGGGGAGCAGTGTAGCAAGGAGTCTACGGACAAAATGAGGCAGTTCTCCAGCAGTTATGATCTCTGGGACTCCCCTAATTCTCACATTTCTTGCTTTCATCTTGTCCTCCATATTAGCCATGTGGTTAAGTATGTCCTCATTGCTCTTTTGCAGCAAATTAAGGGCAGCATCTGTGGCTGTTTGAGCCACTTTCAACGTGTCTATGTCATCCTCCATTCTGATAACCCTGTCAGTGAGGGTGGCCACTTCCTCCCTCATCCCAGCCACATCCGCCTGGAACATGGCCCTTATTTCATGTAAGAGATCTTTGATGTCTGCTTTGGTTGAGGGAGCAGTATCTCCCTCTTTTCGGGGCTGGTGGCTGTAAATACCTCCGGGAAGGTGGATAACTCCTCTGGTAAGCTCTCTGCATCAGATGATTCTGAGGTGGAGGCCGCCGCTGGAGCCATCTTTGCTGGTGCGGGCCTGGTCGGTTGCTGCAGGAACATGCCGATATCTTGGGTTCCCGGATTCCTTTCTGCCCGGAGTTTTTTGGATCGTTTCCCCATCGTGTGAGGTGCAGGTTAGTTCTCAAACTGTGCACCAGCTGTAGGTTTTCGCAGCCGATTGCAGCCGTTAGCAGGGCTATCGTTTCGGAGCTCCCTCAGCGTGCGTCCGGCTTGATCGACAGTTGGCTCCGCCCCCTTCTTTTGTTTTAATCTAAATAATCCTTGTTTTACTTTCCTTTTCTCATTTATGTATCAAAAAATGTTTTATCCCCCTTTTTTACTGACTGTGCTATTCTCTCTTCTGTGTGTGCTTTGGAGGCTCTTATAACTTGCTTAGCCTCTTTCTGCCTAAACTTATGTAACTCAGTCTGCAATATAATTATAATATTATAATGTTGTGTGCATGTATCCAGCAACAGTTACTGAAAAAAATATTACATTTTCTCTCAAGAGCAGGATTATTGAATATTTCTTATCTGTACTGTTGGAATGTTAGCTTCTGGAATTAAGTTTCAGTTTTTCAAACAAATGGTAATCCAAGTGAATGTGATTAACAGTACTATAATGCTTTTCAGATATAGGATTTGGATTCCATGGTTACACTATCATAGTTAAATAAAGGCCAAACAACTTTTTCAATATTGTCCAGAAAAAAAAAAAAATCAATAACTGAATTAACCTTGATTTGCTCTTTCTCTACCCACATTACCTTTCAGTACTTTGTACATAATGCATATTTGTAATGCTTTTGAAAAACACAGCTAGAAAATTAAAGACTAATGTCTTTCAAAATTCCATTCCTAAATGCCTAAAATCCAACCTTTTTAGCTGCTCTCTGTATACAGAACTTTTAAAGTTCTGTATACACAGGCAGCACAATATAACATATTATGAACACTTACTCAAATTACAGTTCAGTGAACACACCCAAACATATATGGAAATTATAAAAACACACGAAAACAGATATTTGTAGTTCAATCCAGCACAAAGTAGCCAAGTGCAAGATGTTAGCAGAGACAGCACACACTGAGAGGCACAAACAAGTCGCAAGGGCTTGTGTACTGGAATAGTTGCTCAGAATATGGTCTGGAGCTGCCTAAGTCCAGATGGTAGATACTGCAAATGGTAGTTGAGAATGACAGGGTTAGGTTCCTGTGGGACTTCCAGATCCAGACAGACAAGCAAGTACTGGCCAAACAACCTGACATTGTGTTGGTTGACAAGGAACGGAAGACTGCAATATTGGTGGCTGTGGAAATACCCAGTAACTATAACATCAAAGAGGGACATGAGAAGGTGAACAAATACCAAGGACTGGAAGAGGAGCTAGGAAATATATGAAAATTGAAGGTACTAGTAATCCCAGTTGTGACAGAATCATTCAGGGCTGTAACCCCCATGTTGAACAAGGAGCTTTAGCCGATTGCAGGTTGGATATCTGAGATTGCTGTCCAGAAGAGTGCAGTCTAGGAACAGCTAAGATACTGCCCAGAACCTTCAGACCCCCAGGCCTCTGGCAGAGGACCAGAGAATGAGGAATGTATACCACCCAGGAGGGGAGAAAAAAACATGATTTTTTTTTGTTTATATCATTAAAATCAAATGCACTGGAAATGGTATAGCATGTCTTTCTTTAAACTTACATTTTCATTCAGTACAGTTCATATAGACTGGTTAGCATTACTTTATAACATAATAGTGTGTGTGATTGCAACATATAATTAAACAGATATAAATAGACTGCATTATTGGAAAACTTTTTTAAACCGTCAATAAAACTGATAGTAGCAATGACCAAGGAGATGAGGAAACAGAAATAAGGTATCTGATATTTCCATTACCTAAACTAAAACAGAGATACTGAGGTCAAATCAGGATAATTTGGAACCTCCGGGCATCTAATATATTTTTAACCCTGCACTCCTTTCCTCTCTTTCCCCCACCCCTTGCTGGTTTAAAGCTTCTCTCAGCGCCGGCTAAAGGTAAGTAATAACTTATGTTAAAATGCTCTTTGAGCCTTTCTTTTCGAGGGAGGGACCTAAAGAATAATGCTGATAGGGTTGGATAAATCCTTTAACACAACCGTCAATAAATAATATCACAGCTTTGACATGGAAAATACAAATTACAGAACAGCACACATAAAAATACAGTTTTCAATTTTACAATGCTATTTAAAATCACTTATTGAAACTTGTAAAAGATCCTTAATCAGTATTTTGTATACATTTTGGTCTTAACCGAAGCACAACTATGGAGAAATAGTTAGTTATGACACCTATTTTTTTAATTGTGTTTTTTATCACATTGATTTAGCATGATATATTTTCACAATATTTTTACAACAGCTTAAATACACTTTAGTTCATTAGCACCACAGTCACAATTTAAAGCATGGATCGTCAACCTGGTCCCTACCGCCCACTAGTGGGCATTTCAGGATTCCAGGTGGGTGGTAGGGGGTTCGGTTGCACAATAAGCTGTATCCTCCTTCCATCGAGAGAGTGGGCGGGAGCGAGTGCACAAACACGCATGAACGCGGGCCAGCCAACACGAGCGAGTGTAACACGTGGGAAGAGGAAGGGGAGGAGTGGGAGCTGATGCATGATAGCAGGGACAGGCAGAAGCAGATCAGAGCACTTGTAAAATAGGAGAAAGAAAATTTATAGGCAGGAGAAGGAGAGAATTGTTGAAAAATAGAAAAAAGGGGATAAAATAAAGGAGGAGAAGCAGCAGTGTTTAGAGTGGCTCATGTTTTGGCAAGTTAAGTTTTGTTATCTTATAAAAGAAAGAAAGAAGGAAAATAAGTAAAGAAAGGAGAAGGAGAGAATTGTTGTTGGCTAATAATAATAAGTGGGCTAACTACTCAGCCTTACTTTTGGACATTGCCATAAGGAAGGTAAAATAAAAGCATTAAAAAAAGGAGATCAAAATTTTTTTATAAAAAGGGGATAAAATAAAGGAGGAGAAAAAGCAGTGTTTAGAGTGGTTAATGTTTTGGCAAGTTAAGTTTTGTTAACTTGTGAAATAAAAGAAAGGAAGATGGAAAATAAGTAAAGGAAGGAGAAGAAAAGAATAAAGAGAAGGGAAAAAGAGACCCCTGCTTTATTGATACAATATAAGGAAGGTAAAGAAGAAGAAGGCAGGAAAAGTAGCAAAAAAAAGGGGAATTTCTTTTTATGGTGACACGTAATAAAAATTGGCACCTACTACAGCGTTGTTTTGGGTGTTTGTAATAAAAGGGAAAAGGGGCTGTGGGGGGGAAAGCACACTGTGGAGTGCAGATCAAAATATGGTAAGAGTAAAAGTAGTTGTTAAATTGTGCAACAAATTTAGAACCCATGTCTGAAAAAAGAAATATGCTCATGGCTATTTACCAGAGTATTTGAAGACACTTGCGCTAAAAAGTTTGAGTTACTACATCACTGGTGGGCGGTAAGTAAATTTTACCATCAAGAAAGATGCATTACTGGACGGTAGGTATAAAAAGGTTGACTACCCCTGATTTAAAAGGACACTATAGTCACCAGAACAACTACAGCCTATTGAATTTCTGGTGAGTAGAATCATTACCTTCAGGCTTTTTGCTGTAAACACTGTCTTTTCGGAGCAAATGCAGTGTTTACATTACAGCCTAGTGACAACTTCACTGGCCACTCCTTAGATGGCTGTTAGAGATCCTTCCTGGGTCATAGCTGCCTAAAATGCATCCAAGCATTCAGTATCTCCTCCCACTGCATGCAGACACTGAACTTTCCTCATAGAGATTCATTGATTCAGTACATCTCTATGAGGAGATGCTGATTGGCCAGGGCTGTGTTTGAATTGTGCTGGCTCTGCCCCTGATCTGCCTCTTTGTCAGTCTCAGCCAATCCTATGGGGAAACATTGTGATTGGATCAGGTAGATAGAAACAACCGAACAAGGGGATTCAGGCGAACCCTCCCCAGTCTCTGTAACTAGAGGCTTTCGTATGATGTATTCCCTTGTTCCAGGACCGACCGCAGGGCCCCATCGCATGGAGCCCAATTCGGCTATTCCTTCCAGTGCGGTCGGCCATTTTATTCCCTCCATGAATTTCCCGAACCCCTGGTCTGATCTGGGTGATTTTTGGATATGTTGTTCACCCAGATCAGGACTACCAGGGGATGTATAATTTAAAGTGGTTTAGGGGTACATCCAGAAACGGGGGGAATTGGTGTGCTGGATAAGGGGATTATGATGCAGGCTGAGGGGAGGGGATGTGTGGGAGGTTACCAGAACAGGATTGGCTACTGTATTAATGAATGGAAATCCCTCCCTTGCATGGGAGCATGCTTTATAAGGCCACTGTCTGAATAAATCTTTAGTTCTGCTCCTGATGCTGTGTGTCGTCCAGTTATTGGGATTGCTGTTGGGATACTGTTGGATTATTTTACCTGCTGGAAACCTTTCCTTGTGGATTTATAATTACTTGTTCCTGAGCCTCACTGGGATCTTCAGCGGAGATAATCTGTGGAATATTGTATCTCCGCTACAATGGGGAAGCACTGTGATTTGATCAGGCTACCACTTCTGCTGATGTCAGCAGGCAGTGGGCAGGTCTAAAGGAAACAGGGACTAAGTAAGCAGATCCAGACTTGAATACAGGTAAGATTTTGCTATATTTAGGGAGGCAAGAGGGTGCAAGGGGGCTAGATGGTGGTTTTAACCCTATAGGGTCAAGTTTGTGTTCCTGAACCTATAGTGTATGTAAAACTGTATTTTTGTGTGTGTGCTGTTCCATAATCTGCATTTTTTATAAATTTTACAGCAACACCACTGCTGAGAAATGCATGTTCCAGTTGTGCCCTCAATTTCCCTTTTTTCTAGCTTTGATGTGGATTCACCTTGTCACTCTATTACATGGCAACAACACACGTCCCCAATGTTTTACATAAAATTGGTGAGCCATTAAAAACACATTTGCACATAAATTCATGACCCAGCTAACATTCTCACAACAATAGTAATGGCAGTGACACTCTCGGGAGGTGTCACATCCTGTTCCTAGCTGCGGATCATTCTGGCAATGGCTTCTGGTATCCAGTACTCTTTTTACAATTCTTGTTTAGTTTTTTTTGTTTTTTCTGGTATTCTATTCTATGTCTGGTTTTCTTTATGCTGTTTTTTCTGGGTTCATTCCTGTATTCCATTCCTGGAATTCCCAGTCTCCTGGATTCATTTAAATGTTTGTTTTATGTTCCAACACCCGTTCCTTTTCCATGAATCCTTTTGTTTCAGTCTGGTTCCTGTAGGCAGTTGCTCAAGTTATCTGCCCTTTCTTGCAGGTAAGTGCTGTATGTGCTTTATTATGGTTTATTTAGCAGACATTAGGCAGAGTAGGACCTTCCAGATATGGGGTACATTGGCGTTGTGGCAGGCTTATGCAATGTATGATCATATACTGTAACTAAATCCCCATAGTTTTCACTTATAGTACTTAGTTATGTCTCCTCTTGTTTTGCCTATCATATCTTGTCTTGTTTTATTTTGTATTCCCAGTCTATATACAGTCCTGTCCTGTCCCTGTTCTGTTAATGTTTCCCTTATGTTTTGTGTACATGTTCTGGGTTTAGCTTCCTATCCTTCTCTGGTTCTCGGTTCTACTAGCTCTGTCTTGTTTTCATGTTTGATAGTCTTGCCTTGTTTCTGTACTGGATACATTCCTGCTGCAGAGCCTCCCTATTCAGCTCCTGGGAGGTCTGCTTATTTTCAAGCTCCAAGTTCCTGGGATCCGCTGTAGCTGCATCAGGGTCCTGGTATGTGGCCGCACATACGCTGGTGCTCAACACCAGGGGGCGTGCGGTTACCCTGCACCAGGCCCTGCTAATCCACTTCCATACTGTGACTCCTAATTTCATCATCAGGCATACTGGGTCCCGGTCGTCCGCCCGCTGCCCGGACAGTGTCTGTGTCCCGGTCACCGGACTGCCACCCTGACAGAAGGCCTTTCTGTTACAATATTAGTGTCATGTGGATGCATGGTATATTACTGTGGAAGCGGGATACATATTCTTAAGTATGCCTATTGAGGGAGTGATAGGGCAGAAGGGAGGAGGGGCAGAGCTAGGAGACGTCATGGGAAACTCCGCAGACTGAAGTGTGAAAATTTGAGTATTGAAGGCCCTTTGAAGATTGCATAATTATTAAGTCAGACAGTCAGTGAAAATTGAAGCGACAGTCACAGTTTTCCATTGGTAAATCCATGATCCTCTATACTAGTAAAAAAAAATAAAAAAATATTACACTTTAAAACTGAAGCAAAGTGCATTCTAAAAGCTTTTAAAACATATAATTATTATCTTATGGGAAGGTAACTCCACTAATATGTGACTTTTTTACCTGCAGGTCAAACTCCCAGGAGAATTACAGTGTTTATCAGTCATAAATGAAATAGATCCAAAGTTCTCAGTCTAGGTAAAGTAACTGGGTTCTTTAAATTCCTTTCGCATTCCAGAAAAGAACAAGTGGAAAAAAGCCTTTTATGGACAAATGTGATTTGTTTTGCTCAGTGTTGTTAAACGCTGATTTTATTTGAAATAAAGTTAAAATACTCATCTGCATAACAGAAAACAGAAAACGATTAAGATGTTTTTGTTTTGGAAACACAATAGTGTCTTAAAAAGGTGAGTTTTAAAGTACAAAGAAATATACTGTAAATGCATAGTAATACTTAAGCCTATTAGGGAGCAATTATGTATCAGAGATCAAGGGGCCCAGCTTCAGAGTTTCAGAAATCAAAGCCAAGCAGTGTTGGACGAGTTTCACAAACACAAACCCTTCTAGTGTGCATCTTTTTTTCTTAATAGACTTTAATGATTTACAATAATTAGGTTCTGGTTTTCCAAGTCAAGTAATATCTCATAAGCTTCAAGCGCAGGATCAAATGGATTAAAAATCCTTCCACACAGTGTGCATCAGCTGCCATAGTTTAATGGTGCGTGTAGCAGATAGTTTTATCTGTGTATACACTCTTTATGAACAAACACATTTGCCATAACTATCTTGGCAAGTGCTTTTCCTAAAACAGTAGAATTGTGCACCAATTTGGAAATAAGAAATTAAAGGAACACTATTGTTTCAGGAATACAAACAGGTATTTTCTACTAGTGCTGTACAGCTTCTGGCACCCCTTTTAGTAAAGTACAAGGTAATTTTTACCCTCCCTTTCCCACACTGCTCTTGTCTCCTGGTGGCTGGCTCTGCACCTGCTTTGCCCCCTTGGCTGAGATCAAAAAACATTGGGAAGCTATTGAGCATGCACTGCAAAATGCTGCACTGCACCAATTAGCATCTCCTCATTGAGGCAATGCATCTCTATGAGGAATGTTCAGCACCTCCATGCAGAGCGTGACCCAGGAAGCATCTCTAGTGGCTGTCTGAGTGACTATCACTAGAGGTGTTCCTAGGCAGCAATGTAAATACTGCCTTATCTCTGAAAAGGCAGTGTTTACATTAAAACCCCTTCATTGACATACTACATAAACCAGAACTATTATTATTATTATTGTCATTTATATAGGGCCAACAGATTTTGTAGCGCTTTACAATAATATGAGAGGGGGGATTTAACTATAAATGGGACAATTACAACAAAACTAACAGGTTGAAGAGGACCCTGCTCAAACGAGCTTACAAAGCTGTAGTTGTTCTGGTGACTATAGTGTCCTTTTAAAACAGTAGTACTGTTTAGTCTTTGGTCACTTTTAACAACCTCTTAAACAGACACAGTATGCACCAACACAACTTTTATACATTTTGCATTTTTGGCATTAATGATTAAATTGCTTTTGCATGCCAATTTCTTTATTGGTTATTAAAAAATGAGACAAGCAGTCAACATCTGAAACCTGACTCTGGACTTCAACCTCTCCATTCTAAAAATACTTCTTTATTTTTTATTGCTGTATAGCGTACAACTTACTTTATGTCCCTCCTTCCTAACCTGCAGTGACCATTAATACAGTTAAGCGTATTATCAAGAAGCACAATGATGCTATCTGGGAGTTTTCCTAATTAGACCTTTTATAACTGAGCCACATGTGTCCAGATGCCTGTTCTGAGTAAAACTGATCCTATGCACAGTGCACTGTCTGACTCTTTAACCCTTGCATTTCTGGGTTAAAAATGCTTAATAATTCAGTCTACACAGAGTAGGATATGAAGCTCTCGATGTCATATCCTGGGGCAGGCAAAGCTCAAAAGTAAAGTAATATGTGTAGATTTACAAAGAAGGAATTTGTATGTAATTATATTTTCTTATTATTCCTTTATTATTTTGGAATCACTGGTATTGCATATTTTCATGCAATATTTATACAAACATTAAAAGAATTTACTAATTCCAACCTGGAATGCCCTGTTAAGGACCAAAACTATTTTTGCCTCCATAACAACTTGCTGTTACTGGAGTCTGTATGCGCAGCGTTTTGCTGTGAGCTCCAACTCCACTAATGGCGGCATCATCGGGGCATCATTAGGCAGTTTAAAACAAGAGTTCCAGGCTGGCTAATATCAAATATACCAATATTTGATGCACAGACATCCATTCAATGTTACTCTCAGCCAATCAATGAGCTGCAGGAAGCTGGATCTTGTTAATGTGTCTTAAGAGAGGAGCAGGAGCCTGTTGGGCTGTAGTGGTTAAAATGGTTGGAGTGACCCTTTAAGACCTAATGCCAACATGGAAATGGAATATCCTGCTATTCAGCCCCGTTGTATTTAAATATTTAGGATATTCGGGGGCGGCGCCTGACTTCCGGCGCGAATGGCGGCATCTTGCTAGAGCTCCACACATCAAGGCCCTTTCAAAGCTAATATTAGCCGCAATCCCTCTACCAATTCCCACCCAAATACCAGCCGAAATACCAACAACTAGCGGTGCACCCGCGGAGATGGGCGGAGGACGCAAATCCAAACAGGGGTCCGCTGTGGCTCCGATCTTCCGTAGCCGCAGGCCAGAGGAGGAACGGAAGGCCGAGGAGACCGGAGAGTATGACTCTGACTCCACAGCCAGCGACGTAAGCCGTCAAACCACGACCCCCATTACTAAGGATGACCTCCGTGGACTGCTGCACGACATTAAAACTAACATCGAGGCAGAATTCACCAAGCACCTGGCCCCCCTGCGGGCAGGCTTTACAGACCTTGTGCAACGTACCAGCACTCTGGAAGACAAAATGGAGGTCGCCACATCCAGAGCAAATACCCACGAGCAGGCCATACAAGACCTTAGGGACCAGGTGAAACAACTCGAAGACGCCCAAGAAGACCTTAATAATAGGTCAAGATGCAATAATATCAGAATAAGGGGCATACCTGAGACCATCGATATGGAGTCCCTCTCATCCACCATCAGGGAAACCTTCTGCAGCCTGCTACCAGAAGCACCTCCAGCCGAGCTCCTCTTGGATCACGCCCACAGGGCACTGCGAGCCCCCACTCCTGGAATGACAAGGCCACGAGACGTAATCGTGCGGCTCCATTACTACCACATCAAAAAAGCCATAATGAGAGCCGCAAGGGACACACCCCTCCAGATAGAGGGACCCCAGGTCCTCTTCTTCCAGGACCTGGTCCCCAGTACCCTGCGAGAGCAGAGAGAATTGCGCCCACTCACCCAGACGGATCCGCTACTCATGGGGACATCCCTTCAAACTCACAGTGCGGAGGAACAACCAGATATACACACTCCATAACATCTCGGAGGCGAGCAGCTTTGCAGAGAGGCTGGGCCTGTCCCAAGCACACATCGCCGTCGGAGAGGCACCTGCAGTGGCCCACACTCCTCCAATCCGGAGGGCTGAAGCAGACCACCAACAACGCCATTCACCCACAGGAGACCCGAACCCGGCCAACAGGGACTGACCAACGGCAACCTACAGACCGACATTGCAAACCCAGAACCACACAACACTGACACCTAGACTTGGACTGCACTTGCTCACGCTTCCATGGACAATGCTACACGGCAAACTCAAGATCCATACATCCCCGGCAGCTTGACGACACTCAGTGTGACCGCAGTCGGACTACCAGATAAGATGTTTTAATGCACAATATTAATCACTTTTCCTCCCTGTTAGTCTGTTGTACGCATGCTTTATATCTATATAAGTACCACATATACACATACAAGGGTATCCACACCCCCCTGCCCTCCACACCGTCACGGTCCGGGGTGCCACTTCCCTCGATAACCCCTTCTGTCCCCGACCTCCGGAGAACACTACCAAAGAGGGCATGGACCCCCCGCTTATCCCCGGGAAGCCCAGGGCAACCCAGACCCCATTCACGCATTGGGCCAGAAAAACACCCCAGCCATAAGGCATACCCTCGATCCCTTTGAAATACAGTGCTGCCGGTACCGGCACGGCGGGCCAGCATCTTTAAGGCCCTACGCATTTGCCTTTACAACGAGGGTAATATCTCTACCCCAGATACACAAGCAACACCATGGCCCTCAGATCAACTATAATGCACTGCAACCCTGACACGCAATCCCTCACTCTACACGAGGGGGGTACGAAAAGCGACACTCCTCTCCTCACCCAAGGGAACTCACTACTCACCTAGGACACGACTTAACTAACAGGTGTAGATAAGAAATACGGAGAAGGTGGGGGAAACTGGGGAAAAATAGGACAAATGGGAAACCTAGGAAAAGAGAGGGAAAAGGGGAGAGAAAACAACAAAAAAAAAAGAAGCCAAATACACGACAAAAATGTACAAGGTAAACTGCAGCGGGCACACAGCACAACGTATAGATCACCGCTACCAGTGAATCTTTACCTTGAAGGGTCAACACCCCCTATTGCTTAGGTCTCACACCACCCACAGTGAGAACTGAGCCAAACTGACACTAGAATACTACAGAAGGATACAAAGACAAGTGCGAGATTGCGTATCGCTGTGTAAGCACAACACACAACGAATTGGGATTACAACTGACTTAATATTATAATACTGGCCGCTTGTACATAGTTTGTCAGGTTGATGTTACTTATGAGTTCTTGTGTAAGGTATAACGCATCGAGAATGCAACAATATTGAAACTGTAATGTTACTCGAAGGCACGAACGTTGAAATGTTAATGCTTATTATTGTTTAATATGTGACCTATATCTACCCCGTATAGGGACAAGAACACATAGTCGGAAACTACACACTAGTACCCCCAAGGGCTAACGAAGACCGACACGTAAGGCGACAGACTCACAAACTGAGATCCACCGCCCATGGAAGGGAACCACACTCCTGCACCGGTGACCGTCTCTGGGAACAGTACTCACACACACCGCAAACCCACAGACAAGGTATGCATGGGGCCTCTCCCTGCTCCCCCCCCGCGGAAACCAACCACTACCAGATGGATAGAGAGGACCACCCAACATCACTCCACCCAGATTCCCAATATCCAATGGCACGCGACAAGGATGCCCATTATAGCCCCTTATATTTGCACTCTCACTAGAGCCCCTACTCCACGCGATACGCTCTAACCCTCGCATAGCAGGCGTAACTATCAGAGGCGAACCATACACGGTATCCACCTATGCGGATTATATCCTTCTGACACTCACAAATCCGGACCAATCCATAGAACCCCTGTTAGATACTATACATGACTATGCACAGGTTGCGGGATATAAGCTGAATTTAGCAAAATCGGAACTACTACCGATCCAACTCTCCGACACACAACTAGCCAGCATAAAAATACCCATTCCGAATATGCCCCTCCAACATAACATACTTGGGAATACAACTCCCAGCTGACTTAAACACTCTATACACGAAAAACTACACCCCATTACTATGCAAAGCATATGCGGACCTACAAAGGTGGAGGACACTGGGTGTGTCCTGGTTGGGATGGGTGGCATCGGTAAAAATGAACCTACTTCCCCGATTGCTATATCTCTTTCAAACACTACCCATACCACCCCACAAAGCAGATCTCAAAGCGCTGGAACGGCCGCAAACCTCGAGTTAGCAGAATCACACTTTACGTCCCCAAAAAACATGGGGGCCTAGGGCTCCCAAATTTCACACACTACTACGCAGCTGCACACCTAGCTCAGATCCAACAATGGCAAAAGATGGGTAGACCTCGAACACTCAATCTTTGGAAAAGACCACCCATCCCTATACATGTGGGTCCCTAAACCGCATCGACCCCTACCCCCCTCCAACAGCCCCGACCATCACGCACTCCCAGGACCTCTGGGACAAACTACAGAATAAATTTGAACTATCCTCGTTCCTCTCCCCAATGACCCCAATATGGAGGAACAAACTATTTCCACCAGGGCTCACTCCCGCCCACTTCGCCCATTTCGACCAAAGGGACATTATGAGACTCAACAGCCTGTACCAAAACAAGGCGGTAATAAAATACTCAGAAATCAAAGATGCGGACACCTTGACATCGTACGACCACTTCCGATATATTCAGCTGCGCAGCTTCGCATCAACCCCAATAATACAACAAGCTGGCACAGCCACACTCACCCGATTTGAGAAGGAATGCACTCACTACCCAATTAGAAGAGGTCAAATATCTGACCTATACACGACCCTGGCAACCCACCCTACCCAAGTAACACTAACTTATATAGCAGCCTGGGAAAAAGATCTGGGACCCCCAGAAGACAACACAGATTGGTCAGATATCTGGGAAGCTACGGCCTCGATATCAATTTGTGTAACACATGCGGAACAAGCATACAAGATGCTTTTTCGATGGTATCTTACACCCCAATGCCTAGCAATAATCCACAAAACACCCAGCATGTGCTGGAAACTATGTGGAGAACAAGGGACATTCTTCCACTGTTGGTGGACCTGTCCCAAAATAAAACCCCTATGGATCGGCGTCACTACACTATTGACAAAAATTCTACACAAGCCATACCCATTAGACCCATGGGCCCTTCTACTTTCAAAACTACTAGAAAATTTAACCAGAGCAGAAAACAAACTTGGTGCATTCATCGCCCTTTCAACACGACGGGCAATAGCAGAGCTGTGGTCCACCACCCGCATTCCATCACAAGCTCACATCACTAAAAAAATACAGGATAACATACAAATGGATAAGCTCACATCCCAACTCCATGACACACCCAAACAATTCCATAAGGTTTGGGACCCATGGCTAGAGGGAGATACCTCTCTGCCCTGGTGAACACAAACTCAACCTGCACCAGAGCAAATAATTAAAATACACTATCACCTAGCTTTCAAGATTCAACCCCCCTCAAAGCTCCTGTCAAGCCCAAACATCCGCTCATCCCGCCATACCCACCGGACTGGGGCTCCGTGAGTGCGGCAGAAAACCCTAATTACCCATCCTTGGACCCCCTACCCCTGGAATCCTCCCCCCATGGCCCACCCTATACCGACTACCCTACCTGACAACCCTGCACAGGAATACCAGGCAGTGGAACTTGCCCACATGACGCTCACACAACTCGGGGCACACTAAACTCTATAATACCAAAACATAGAAAACTACCTAACCACCTGGCTCCAAGATAACCTTATACTGAAGGCTAAGCGACCCATATACCCGACATGGGACAACACACAGTTGGACCGAAAACGGGGAACATCGTGGCCATAACGCCAACACCCCTAGGAAATAACGGACGACCAAATAGGACCCACAACTCTGTAGAACTGGGGTGGTTTTTTTTTGGTTTTTTTTATTCCTCTTTCTCTATTGACACATATGTCCAACATACGTCTGTATCATACTTGCTTAACATAAGGATCACCCTCGAAGGAGACACTTCAAAGAAACTCCCATATGCCCCCCACAGGGGCCGTAAAGATCCTATGGAGTTACTGATCCGAATAATGAACTCCTGCCCCAGGCTCAGGCGAGCCTCTCAGTACCTCCAAAAGGTATAGAGTCCAGGCACTTAGATTCTATCGTCTCATCATACGACCTGTTTACGGTCTACTTTCAAAATATGTACGATACAAGCTTTTATTATACCTACATATGTATAGACAGAAGATTGTGTGATTGTCAAAAGAGAAGACACTGTACAACTGTGCACTACCCTCCTCCCACCCCCAATTTATCTTCTGTACCCCATACCCCACCCACCAAACTACATGAAATGTACCATAAATAAAGAATTTAAAAAAAATAATATTTAGGATATTCAATTTTAGAATAAGATTCTTAGTCCAGACTGTTATTATATCACATGTACACCAAAACAGAACAAGTAAAAAGGTGCTTGACCAATATACATAAAATATGTTAAATATTAAAAAGCAGCTCCTTTTAAAGTGCAATAGCTCTCAAAACACATATAATAAACCATAAATGGAAAAAAGGTGTGTTGTGTCTTTAAAACAGACTAAAATATTAAAGTGCAAGAAACTGTCTAAGTGCACTGTGTTATATAACTTCTCAGTAAAAAATATAATGTGCAAAAACAGCAAGTCTATGCTAATGTATTAAAGTGCAAATACAAATGGAAATTTAAAAAAAAAAAAAACTCCAGTGCTTATAGTGGATAAAAGAAAAAAGCACTTACTCAACTCAGAATAAGGGTATGTCTCTTCCAATAATCACAGAAACATATAATGTAAACAAGAGAAAAGAAAATATATAGTGTAATACAGAATGGATAAAATCTATCAAATGGCTAATATTGAAAACCCACTCACAAGTGGAGAGCAGAGAAGCCTGCTTTAACTGTCAGCGCATGTGAATATACTCCAATCTAATCCAGTAGGCAGCAGCAGCAAGTGAATAAAACTTCTTTATTTGAAAAATATTCATAAAATCACTCTATGCCCATCACCTCCCGACTGGACCACCTTTCCTGTGCTGGGATACAGTCCCTCCTGTTCGCCACTGCCATTAGTATTTAAAGAGTTAAAACTTTGTATCCTGAGCTTTTGCAATATGAAATGCTTGTACAGTGGGACCTCGGTTTACAAATTTAATCCGTTCTCAGGGACGTTTCTTATTGCGAAAAATTTGTAAACAGAAACGCGGTTTTTCATAGAAATGCATTGAAAACCAATTAATCCGTTCTGGAGGTCAGAAAAAAGTCAAAAATGAGCTGGCATGGAAACCAACCCACAATGCAGAACACACAATAAAAGGCATGCAAACTACGAAGCTCAGCTCACTACCTTTCCACAGCTTGAGAAATGCACCCAAAAAAGTTCCAAAACAAATGCAAACAATTTCCAGAATGGCTCCAAAACTTGATGCAAAAGCCGCCCCAACACCGCCACACTCGACGCCTCGTGCTACCCACAGGCTCCAGCATGCACGGGGCGGTGCTATAAACCTCCCAGGTGCAATGCATCCTGGGAAAACTTGCTTTGTATTGTGAAAAAAATGTGTAAACAGAGGCATTATTTTCAATGGATTTTCATTTGTAAACTGAAAATTATGTAAACCGAGGTGCCACTGTATATAATTGTTAGATGATTTGTAAAGTTCTGATTTATTCCATCCTTATACAACTTAAAAAAGGTTGGTGATATTACACTGGCACAACAGATTGAGGTGGGATCTGCTTGAACAAGATAATATATTTGCGCAAGTGTAATAGAGTTGGTTGATAAACACAATACACTATCGTTTCTGGTGGGGAAGATAAAGTACAAAGTATACAGTGATTATCAGGTATATGTTTAAACAAACATAATTATGTTCTAGGTGTAGCTTGCTAGATCATATGCCCAAAATGCCAGAAAGTTGGCTTCTAGGCTATGGTGAGACAGTCAGAGAACTAATCTATATGGCAAGTTGAATCAAACAAAACTCAGAAGTTGCACATGGTACTGCCAGTGCTCAGAATTTACAGTCACCACTCACCACTGGTGAGCGAAAATTTAGCCCTAGTGAGTAGAAATTCACCCTTGTACGGTATGCTAGGGATTGCAGTGGCAAGTAACGTTTAATGCTAGAACTACAAATTTTAGGCCCTCATTCTTCTTCCATGCTCCCAACACACATACATAGACAATAAAATGCAGAAAACAAACTTTCAATATTATTTTAATGTGAACTGTGACAATCTAAATGAATTGGTTTATATAATTTGAAAAGTTTCAAAAACCAACAGATATAAGAAGTACAATTTAATAATCTAAATAATCAAAACAATGATGTGTTTAGTTTAAAACAATCTATTTTTGTGTGCAAATACGTCACCTCATTTTACAAAGGTACCTGTGAAGAACGTATTTATTTATGTATTTATTCTGGACCGGCTGCAGAGGCTATGAATGTGTTTTTTTCAGGAGCACATGGCGCTCATTGCCCTGATGAGATTATCCATACCAAATCACCTTCCCAGATAGTTTACTCAGTCACAACTCACATGTAAGAAGATCTGGCGGTGTTTATTCGTCATATGATCTGTAGAATGTGCAGTTACGACAGGTAAAGGAACAATTCTTCCATACAGGATAGCAGAGAAACAAGTCACATATGAATGTCCAGCATAGAATACACTAGAACAGAAAAAAGGGGAGGGGAGTACCTGGAGCAGCATGCAAACTATGGAGTGGCCCAAGGGACAAACTTAAGATGAACATTAAAGAAACAGTACATTATAATAAAACAATGTTATGTAACATGACAGTATTGATTTGCCACATTCCACTGGAAGTCTGAAAGGGTTAGTGTGAGCACAGCAAAGCAGGCTGCAGATGACTAAGATGATTTAGACTTTGTTTCAATAGTGTACAGAAAACTGTTTTGAAACAGGGAAAGCGCTTTATATAGGCATTCTGGTTCCATAGGAAGAACTAGTAGTCAGTAGGTGTTATGCTGGCTTTAAAGGGTTTAAAACTTGATTATCTGAATGCTTTTCTTCATTATTTTGCTAGCACCTTTTTCCTTGTTCTTTTCTTGCTCACTATACATCTTTAAAAAAAAAAAAATCATGATACTTGTAGTACATATACATGTGTTTAAAGGGTTACTCAAGGGGGAGGAACGTTTCTGTGTATTATGCCCTATTGGGCTGGATCCCCCTTGATTTGCAGAAAAATCTAAAAGAAAAGATGTTTACTTACCTGGAATCCAGCACCAGGTGTTGACTCCAGGGGAGGGCTGGCAGCCTCAGGCCTGGGGGGCAAAACCAGTCAAGTGGCCCATTGCACCACCAAATCAGTGCAATGGTGCCCACCTTTTCCTGGTTTTATAACGGATATTGATGTTATGCTAATCAGTAGCTCTTTGCCATACCCGCTCCTTCACGGCTCTGACTTTCAATGTTGTCAGAGCGCAGGCTGAGAATCTCTGAGCGTGTGCTCTGACTCACTAACTGAGCGCTGGAACCACGAGGGAGAGGATATAATCTGACTGCACCTACTGCTGGTGCGCACCAGTGGACCACCAGCGAATCGTTTAAATTGAATAGGCTGGTGTCCCCAACTTGTGAGCTGTGTTGTCCACGGGGCGCCTCTATTGTGATGGCACCCTGCGTGACCGCACAGCGTGCACACCCCAACGGCTGGCCCTGCTGACACACACTGATGTTACTACTTAGAAATCCCTCAATATTAATACAGACATCAGAGTAAACACCAATAAACTGTGGAAACAGAGCTGATCCCCCCAAATTTATAAAGATTTGCTTACTGGATTTGTTGTAAGATTAAATCATGCCTCCTCCTCTCTCTCTCCCATGCGCTGCTCTGTAGGCTGGGAGGAAGTGAAGAGTAATCACAATCTCCCAGCACAGCGGCACCTGTAGCTGCATGGGGAACAGCTGTATTTGCCGCCCCCCATGTGACATCACAATGCCCCACCTATATGAGCTGCCATACGAACTAACGCCAGTGCTGCCCACAGTGTGTGTTTACATTAAAAAGCCTGCAGGGACCGGCTATAGACACCAGAACCACTTCATTAAGCTGCAGTCGTTCTGGGGACTATAGTGTCCCTTTAATGTGAGGTAAATTATAGATTAGTGTCACTAATAATATAGTAGATTGCCTACTTACAACAAGAGTCACAGCGTGACTCGAGCCACGAGGCATTCTAGGCCACATGGTCGGACTGCATACGTTCCCAGAGGAACAACAAGAGTCGGGTATCCCCGTTTGCACGCTTTCATCAGGCCAGTCCTCCGGTCTTTCAGAGCCAAAACTGAGGCAGTTGTTAGTGGTTCAGGCTCGTTTTTTGTCTCCCTATGTGTTGCTATTAGACAGCACATCTGGCCATCTTGACAGTCAGGTCCCACCCCCTCCTCCCCTTATCTTTTTTTGTGATCCTTTTCCTTTATAAAACCTCATAAATGTCAAATGTGAAAAAAGGATAAAGTTCTCAAAACATCTGTGAGATCTTTGCTCTGCAATAAATTTGGGGTCTCACCAATGAACCCATGCAAACTAGGCTGTTCTTGATGCCATTGTTGTCTGTTTTATATGGTCATTGTTCACTGTAGATGAACCATAGTGTTTTTTGCATAATCACAGCAGTAGTGTTTATTTTTTGTTTCAGTACTGCAGATAGCACACTCTGACAGTGAGCCTGTGCCCCTTAAAGTGTATCTAACTGCCAATGGTGTACACACGATCCATGGGGCCACGGTGCGCTTACACTGTGCGGGCTGGGGCCGCAACAGATGGCTCAGGGCACCTGGTCGCAGGGGTCGCAGGGCTGAGACCGCGGTATGTACGCCAGTGCATGCAGATACACATACATTTAAAGGACCACTATAGGCACTCAGATCACTTCAGCTCAATGAGGTGGTTTGGGTGCCAGGTCCCTCAGGTTTTAATCCTGCAGCGGAAAACATAGCAGTTTCAGAGAAACTGCTATGTTTCACTGAGGGTTAA